ATTTTGTTTCATGTAGATGTGGCGCTTTTGCATACAGTTTTAAGTGCATATATACAGATATCAAAATCTGTATATATGTCTGTCTGTGTTAGAAATAAATAACATACAAATTATGTATCATAGCCAAGTGGAAACAACGTTGGTTTTATTCAGGCAGTGGGGAGGATGGGGAAAAATATATTAACGATTGATTTATCTTATGGGGTGGGGGAGTATAACTCTTACAAATATGTACCTGACTTAGAAAAGGGATATTATCATATACTGTATATATATATATCAAATATGTAAAGCTGGCAAGTTAGAGACCTCCACTCTCCCTCCATAAAAGCTTGCAAGGTGCCTTGGATCAGGCACTGGAGCGCTCTTCGCCGGATGTTAATATGGAAACCAAATAAACCTTTGGCACAGGCAAATGCTCTCAGCGTTTGTACCCAGGCGGATAGCAGTAACTCGCTTCACAGGAGTAGGCTAACTCCTTTGTGCAAAAGGTGATTGCAATGAAAAAAAGAGAGAAAGGAAGAGATGCTTACGAGCCAGAAAGAAAGAGACCTCATTCATTGTGATCTGGAATTAAAGTGGATCCTTCAACCATAATCAGCTATCAAGAAAGGATACAGGAAATTGGACTTTTTTTTTTGTTGTCCAAAGCTAGGGTTGATCCTTGATATACGACTGACTCAGTAATGTCACTGACTCGAGTATCCTCGTGATACAACCTGCATTGTAGATTTATGGTGGATTGTTTTGGAGAATGTCCTGCCCTGGAATGGGACAATTTGCCTCGGCCAACCCACCACGGCCAACTCATCATGGCCAACTCAACGAAGGGCAACTTGCCATGGACCAACTCATCGTGGGACAATGCAACAATTCAATTGAATTTTTAAACTAATTTTAAAAATTATTTTAACGTCTCGATATTAATGTAACCTTTGTCCCGCAGTAAGTTGTTCCATGATGAGTTGGTCATGGCGAGTTGATCACAGCCAAGTTGGCTAAAGTGAGATGGCCATGGCGAGTTGGCTAGGGCGAGCTGTCATAAGACCCATCCTGCCTTCCACAAATCCTTTTCCATGTAAAAAATAGATTCTAGCGTTGCCTTCTGTAACACAGCAAACCTTTCAAAAATGTTGGGCTGCAAAACCTAGAAGGCTACATAATGCTGTGAGTCTCGATCTCCAGAGACATGGAAGAGGCCAAGGTGGCGATGCAGAACGGGCCATCAAAACATCTCCCTTCCACATCTCCAGTTTAGTGTTTCAGGTAGAGATAACAACCTCTTCTATTAACACTTTCACCATGAAGATCATCATAAACCCATAATCTCTCTTGCAAGTGATGGGGCTGCAGCTGTTTGCTTTAAGTGGCCGAAGCTCTGTAAAGTGTTTAGACAACTCAAAAACAAGAACAGGGCAAGGTGGGGTGACTTGAGTCAATGTGAACGATTATGGAACAAACAGGGTGCTTGCTGCATAAAAGCCTGCAGCTTCTTTCTGGCTGAGAAGGGATCACGTGGGACACCTACATAAGATGAGCTATCAACCGGGTGCCGCTGGAAAGGTGTCGGTGATCTGCAGTGCGTCATATCGCTTTTAAGCATGCAATTGTTAAGAGCAGGGCTCTTCTTTCAAGTCGTTTTGGAAACAGGATAGATTGGCGGAAGCTACGGTTGGAGATGGAGGAGATTTTACGGAGAGAATTAGCAGCCAGTCTGAGTAGCATTTTGCCACACAATGCTATATGAGGTGCAACAGGTCTACAGACTTCAATCCCACACCCACACCCCAGCACACAAAATATACACACAGACACACCCATGCGCACACACACAATTTTCATATCTGAACAAACTATAATAACCATATTATAGTTAATATTACCATTCCTTAGGAATCTTCTTTGCTCACCCTTTAGTGGCATGCTTCAGAGGCACAAAACAAGAGAGCATTTGGCACAGTGTGCAGGTGAAGACACACACCCACAGAAATCACACCACAGACAAAAGGGCAACCACTGGACACCCAGCCAACAGCTGGAGGATGGTGTTAAACCATGGAGCTCTGGAAGAAGACACAGGATTGTTTGCTTTCAGGTGTCTTTAGTCATACAGTTCCCATCATTCCTGCCAAGTTGGGGTTGATGCAACTCCATTGAACCTCTTGAAGGCCACAAGATCTCCATCCCTGAGTCAGCTGAAGGATGCCACTAGTACAGCTGCTAAAGTGATCAACACCTCACCTGTAGGACCATTGTTTTATGGGAACTGAAAACAGGTCTCCCAAAATTATAGCAAGACAACTCTTCCAAATGTTATTCCACAGGGCAGAATCTATTGCCTGATGAGGCCAACAAAAGTTCCTAGATCCAGATCCAGATCCGATATGCCAAGATCCCAAAAACTCTGGGTCTGAGGAATTTGGCCTGGTATAAACTTTTGATTGTATCTTGGCTCTGTTCGACGACAGCCACCTCACTGGGAAGCAGCAGCACAGCAGTTGGACCAATGATGTGTGATAGCAAAGTGCAGAGGAGGACAATTTTCAGTTGAAAGATAATCTTATGAGGCAACAGTATGAGAGAGAAGTTTCAGACGTGCTTAAAAGTAGAGTTCCTACTCAGAAATGGCACATCCTCCTCAGAAATAAGAGGGGTTTATATTATTGGTCGGATGAGAGATTTCATTCTGTATCTCTGAAGGTTAGAAGCTTCTCATTGGGTCCTCTCTAGCTGTGTTGCACCACAATTCCAATTATTTCCAGCCAGCACTGGCTGGGAATAGTGGACGTTGCCACACAACAGTTCTGGAGAGCAACAGCTTGGAGAAAGTAACCTAAAACCCTCACAACATGTTCGGAAGTTGCAAGATGGAGATATGGACCATTTTGATAGACCTCAGAAATGGAGCTTTTCTCTCCATGCATGGTGGCTTTGGATGATTCCCTAGTGCAACTTCTCTCCATGCGTGACTAAGACAACAATCCACAGAATGGGTTGATCTCTGGAACTCCCTTTCTACAGCAAGACTTCATGAAAAACTCAGCCCAAGTGGAATAGCCATAGAGGATCTGTGCTACGAATTTCAACACCTGGTCAACCACAAGCTTTGAATCCGCAGGCAGAGAAAAATCTCCATTGTTTACTTGATACAGCCAGAATAGGCAAGAAGCCAATGCCAACATGATACAACAAAATGTTCACGCCAGCCATCCCAAATGGCACCTTGTAGATGTGTTGCAATTACGAATGTCAATTCTGGGACCGGCAGCTCCAAGATCTGGATTGGGGCAACATGGGGCCTTTATGAATATCAATTTTGAGAGTTCCGTAGTGGATTAATCACAAGGGTCCGGTGTTTCACTATAAAATGGGAAAATGTGAAAAGGTCTCAAACCCGAAGGCAAGAATACTTGGCTGATGACATTTTTGTGGTCATCGCAAAACTTGCCAGGACAATTGCAGTTCCTGGACAGATATCCGTTTGAATGATCTCAACTACGAGGAGTAGGGAATGTTCTTTGCAAATGATTTTAGTTTTTGAAATTATATATTTTTTAAAAAGGCACGGGAAGGAGCTTTAGTCATCAGAACTTGGAGGAAGGAGATTTGACATGTATTTCTTCACTTGCTCTTCGTTGCGTTCCATTCCCTCATGCTAACACAAGGAATGGTTGGTGTCTCTCTCTCTGTGTGTGTATGTGTTTGTGCTGTGTCTGTGTGTGGGTTTCTGCGTGTTGTCTTTAGGGATTTCTAACAGATGCTCTTCTTCATTCACGTTCACTCTGTGCATGTTCTCTTCAGGTGAATTGTGGACCACTACACTCTTGCTGTTGCCTTAAAGTGCACTATGTCAAATCCCAAACCAGCTGGCTGTACCTCTTGTAGAGACTCGTGGCTGCTAACACAAGGAATGGTGTGTGTGTGTGTTTGTGCTGTGTCTGTGTGTGGGTTTCTGCGTGTTGTCTTTAGGGATTTCTAACAGGTGCTCTTCTTCATTCACGTTCACTCTGTGCATGTTCTCTTCAGGTGAATGGTGGACCGCTACACTCTTGCCGTTGCCTTAAAGTGCACTACGTCAAATCCCAAACCAGCTGGCTGTACCTCTTGTAGAGACTCGTGGCACCTTATATTAACTTCCCCATCCCAAGTGCTTTTCAGAGAGGCAGATTCCAGCATCCCAAACACCCCAATCTGGTGCCACCATGGCTGGGAGAACAGCTAAACTCAAAGTCCTCACGTCTTGTGACCACGCAAGACTCTGAAGGCGGCCTTTAGGGCTTATGGATTTCTCGTGGCCTATATTTTCAGATCTACGCAGCTCATGACACCATGAATCGAGGTGCCTCAAGCTCTGTGTGGGTCAACACAAGGAGGAGTTCCTTTTCTCCATGGATGACTGCGATTTGCAAAGATGCCAAGCTCCCAGGAATGCCAATCCCTTTTCCTCTGGACATTTTCCCTTTGAGGAACAACGGCATCTGCCTCGGCTTTGCCCCTTGTGCTTTTAGAGGCAGCTGAAGTCATATTCCACTTGTGTCCTTCCTGGGATGGTACTAGTGCAAGCAGGGGAATGTATTCAATTAAGCTGGCCTTCACACTGAAGTATCTGCAACGCTGCTCTCTCCGCAGATGACTGTCCTTGAGGCACTGATAAAGCAGCTTCTGTGGGCCAAAGCCTCAACCAAGTGCAGAAACTCTTCTGTGCAAAGCTATCAACATTGTGTCCCTGCTTCTGTCCGTTGGCTTCATGCAGTCAGGAGAGCCTGCAAATACTGAATAGACAAAAGGAGGTTTACACAGCAGGAAATGAGTACCGGGCAATCATCAGTTCTCTTGCAGATGGTAGTCCTTTGATAACAGAAGCATGTGCTTTTTCTTGCTGCCGTGAAGGAGGAAAAGATTATTTCTGGAAAGAAAATAAGGCAAGATGCTTGCTGGAAGATACAGACAGACAGCAGGGAGAAACCAAGATGGTGTTCCGGATGATAGACGTTGGGTCATCAATCGGTCTTTCCTAGCTTGGCAATTAGCTCGTCACAGATCTTGGTCAGTTCTTCAATTTCCCGGTTCTGCAAAAATAAATGAAAACAGATAAAGAAAAGCTCAGAGGTGAAGTACTGATTACCTACAACCTTTTCTGATGATGCAAATTAGAATTATCCCCATAATGCGTGACATCCAGTCCAACCCATTCTCCTGGATCTTACTTCTCCTCCATGTACAAAATGCAACGGACGAGAAGCAACGGATGGAAACTGATCAAGGAGAGAAGCAACTTAGAACTAAGGAGAAACTTCCTGACAGTTGGGACAATTAACCAGTGGAACCACCTGCCTCCAGAAGCGGTGAATGCTCCAACACTGGAAGTTTTTAAGAAGAGACTGGACGGCCATTTGTCTGAAATGGTGTAGGGTTTCCTGCCTGAGCAGGGGGTTGGACTAGATGACCTCCAAGGTCCCTTCCAACTTTACCATCATCATCATCATCATCATTATTATTACTGTATTTATTCATGTGACACACTAAAACAGGAAGCATAGACAAAAAAACACCGCAACCCAGCAGTGACTCACAAACTAAAGTTTGTGATGAATGCAACTGCATTCCTCTTGCTACAGGGCAAGACTTTTTTTAAGCTTTAAGTAAATAATGATAACCTGAGCCTCCTTAGGTCGTTGTTTCAGAGACCTTTCCTTAGATAAATCGAGAAACTGACTGACCAAGGATGGGCAAAAAAGCAGGAATTCTGATTCTGATTCAGCAGGAGCGACTTCTGATTTCCTGTTGGCTTCCCCATTGACTTTTCTTCTGGTAATCTGGCAGGGAGCACTGGAAATCTTTCCAGCTTTAATTTGTTTGATGGAGACAACAATACACAGGCACCCCACCAGCTAACAACAACGAGAAAGAAACTTGAGTGATTTGACCCCTTAGGCGTGTCTGAGGTGGTATTCAGTCCCATCAAGGCCGAATGTTCTGAAATGCAATGGTCATTGTTTTGACCCAATTCCAGGACAAACATAGAGTACATTTTAGACAATCTTCACCAGCAGGGAAAGCGAGTGAAGTTTAGAAAGGGATGATAGGGGATGGGGGAGAATCACCTTCTGCTGGAGGGACCTTTCAAGAGACTCGACCTTCATTTGTTCTTTTCGAAGTCCGGCGTGGAAAGCTGCACTCTCAGCTTTGGACTTCGTACGCACCTGAGCAATCTCTTCATTGGCTCTGGATAAAGGGGAGGGGGCACAGGAATAAAAAAAGAGAGGGAGAGGGAGCGAGAGGGGGAGATAGGATGGGTGTAAAAAGAAAAATTCTGTAATTTGTTGAATAAAGCGGCATCTTCTTACTCAACTGCTTTGAAACTCATCGAATTTGGTACTCAATGCATTGTGACATGAAATTTTTTTCCCAGTACTCATTTGTTTGACGTTGGCTGCCTTGTGACTCACTACATCATTCCTTATCGGAAAAATTTGTTGGGTACTCATCATTTTTGGTACTCATCCTGCCTCCCAGAACCAATTAACGACGCGTACCAAGGTACCACTGAACAGGTAATTCTCTTTGGCAAACTTCTGAAGTTACAACAGTATTGAAAATTACTGGCTTACAACTGGTCCTCGTAAGCATGACTGTTGCACGAGCATTTTCACAGTCAAGTGACCAAAATTTCGGCACTTTTCAACCAGCGTGCACTTAAAACAACTGCAGCATCCTGGGGTCATATGATCAACATTTAGGCTGGCTCCTGACAAGTTAAGTCAAAGGGGGAAGTCAGGTTCATTTACCGACCACAGCACAAAAGGTTGTAAAATTGGGTGTGACTCCTTTAAGGACCTCATTACTTAGCCACAGAAGTTCTGACCTCAATTGTGATCATAAGACAAGGATTACTTGTATCCCATTCCCAGTTCACATGTAAGATCTTCTTTTGCGTCATGTGAGAGGAACAGTTGTGTTGAGTAGGAAAGCGTGCCAGCCTGAAACTTCCACAGCTCCTTTTTTTGTATGAGGCCTTCTGTTATAGGTAGTCCTCAACTTACGACCACAAATTTCTGTTGCTAAGTGAGAGAGTTAAGTGAGTTTTGCCCCATTTGACGACCTTTCTTGCTGGAGTTGTTAAGTCAATTACTTCAGTTGTTAAGTTAGTAACCTGGTTGTTAAGTGAATCAGGCTTCCCCACTGACTTTGCTTGCCAAAAGGTCGCAAAAGGGGGAATCACGTGACCCTCTGGGACACTGCAACGGTCACAGATAGGAGCCAGTAGCCAAGTGTTCGAATTTTGAGCACGTGATCACAGGGATGCTGCCGTGATCGTAAATGAGGAAAACAGTCATAGGTCCCTATTTTCAGTGCTGCTGCAACTTTGAACGGTGACTAAGCAAACTGTTGTAAGTCGAGGGCTACCTGTATGGATTGGCATGAAGCAGGGAAAGTGCCATCATTGGCCCTTACTTGTCTAACTTCTCCTCTGCGTGGATTTTCAAGGCCTGGTAGCGCTGCTCCTCTTGCTTGACGCGATTGAGGTAATCTTGAGCGCACTTCTTCAAGGCCTCTTCGTTCTAGAAGGAAAAAGACAGCTCGGCTTGGCTAGGAACCATCACTCAGAAACCACAATGCTTCGATTCACCCACTGCAAAAAGCCCAACAAGTTACATTTTGGAGTTGGGACAGAATTCCCAGCCTGCCTCTCGCAAATTCTACTTGAGGACCCTTAACCGATGATTCAGGAAACAGAACATGGGATCTTATAGAGAGAGATATGTTTCCTTCCAGACCTATAACCATTCTTCCTTGAGGTTGGAGGGACATTAGAAGTCCTTGCTATATCAACCAGGTGATGGACAATGAGAAGCAACAGAACTTCTATCTGTTAGAAGAATCAATATGAGATAAGATAGAATAGATAGGCTGGGTTCACACATCAATCCATGAGTTACCAAAAGGTGTTCCCAATGAATAAACAAAGTTGGTTTCATCCACAGAATGTGTTATTCCAAAATATATCACACCATTGCTTATTGCAGGTAGCAACGGTGTGATTTATTTTGGAATGACACATTCTGTGGATGAAACCAACTTTGCTTATTCTTCGTTGCTTATTCCAGGTAGCAACGGTGTGATTTAGTTTGGAATAACACATTCTGTGGATGAAACCAACTTTGTTTATTCTTCGGACCCCATTTTGGTAACTCATGGATTCATGTGTGAACCCAACCTATCTGTTCTATCTTATCTCATACTGATTCTTCTAAAAGGTAGAAGTTCTGTGGTGCCCATCACCTGGTTGATATAGCAAAAGACATAACCAAGCAAAGCCAATTTTTTTAGCACTGAGTCACAATTCCTCTCCATCAAGTGCAGTGGTTAGAATGCAGTATTGCATGCTAACTCTGCCGACAGCCAGGAGTACGATCCTGACTGGCTCAAGGTTGACTCAGCCTTCCATGAGGTAAAATGGAGGACCCAATGAGGACCCAGATTGTTGAGAACAATAGGCTGACTCTATAAACCGCTTAGAGAGAGCTGTAAAGCACTATGAAGCGGTATATAAGTCTAGGTGCTGTTGCTAGCAAGAGGATGGAGGCAACTTGAAAACTCTAGAGAATAGCATTTATATGAGCAGCCTCCAGAAGGTATACAGGGCCAGGATAAAATAGAAAGAAGACTGGTACAAAACCCATATTTAATCTCCTGCAATTAAAATTTAGTTCATATTCAATTAAAGTCATCAACAGTACCTAATGTGAGTACTCCCCATGTTTCAGTCACATCAAAAACAATATTTTGGCTGGGGGTGTATAAGATTTCCAGTGCTGCAACCAATACACTGGGAGCCCTTAAACTGTGCATCGCTGGCCTTCAGTAAAGGAAAGCCCACAGGAAAAAAAAAGAATTTTCCAAATAAAGGAAGGACCTTCTTGAAACCTTCCAGGATTCCCTTCAGATTCTCGTATCTCCTGAATAGATCGGACAGAGATCTCTCCACCGAATTCAGGTCAGACAAGGCTTGTTCCTTCTCCATGGTCAGCTGCTGGAGACCCTTCTGGGATGCCATGTTAGTTCTCTGCTCGTCCTCTGTGAAATCAAAGGCAAAGGGGGATGATAGCTCTGCTTCAACCAGGCCTTTAGCTAAGAGACATCCAAAATTTTGTTTATAATACAATTAAAAAAACATTGGATGTAACGTGACATTCCAGTATATACATTCTTATCAAATTATTCCACATTTTACAATCGGTTCTTCATCTCTAAATGTACATCTAAGTATTATATACAATACTTATCCTAAAATGACATATATTTCTATCTTAACGCTAATCTTTAATCCCAACCGTCCTCCTCGAATCTCTCCAGCGGTAAAAATTTTCCCAGGTTTCGAAGTAAACTGATCCACATTTGTCTTTCAAAACCATTGGAAGCCTGTCCATTTCCACACATGCTAATATTTTATACAGTGACTCTTCCTCTGTGGGGATTCCTTTGCTCTTCCATTTCTGCGCAAATGCAAGCCTAGCTGCAGTCAAGATTTTAAAACAAACTATTTATTTATTATCGTGGTTTTTAGTATCGCCTGTTCACCGCCCTGAGTCCCGCAAGGGAGATAGGGCGGTATATAAATTTAATAAATAAAATAAAATAAATAAAGATGTGTAACAGCAAATAGATTGTTCCCTTATTGTATTTTTCTGTAGTTATTCCCAGCAAGAAGAGTTCCGGTTTTAACTCCTATTGAGAGCTTTTTAAGAGGTAAAGTATCTGTTTAAAGCTAGCCTTCCAAACGTGGGCATTCTCCAGATGTGTGGACTTCAACTTCCCGTTTCTATATCTACATGGCCATGGTTGGGAATTCTGGAAGGGGAAATCCACCACATCTGGTGGCTATGCTGGGAAAGAGAAGGATTTTACCCATCAAACCACGCTAAAAAAAACCACCTCCTCCCTTTTTACAACCCTCCAATCCAGAGGTCCCCAACCTTTTGAACACCAGGGACCGGTTCTGTGGAGAGAGGTTTTCCCACAGACCGGAGGGTGCGTGGTTTTGGGTGCTGCCTGCATCTCGTGGATGGGGCTTTCCTTGTTTGTGCGGACCGGTTGCTGGCATGCTGCGGCCCGGTACCGGTCCACGGACTGGGGGTTGGGGACCCCTGCTCCAATCCCTTAATTCAAGGTAGAGTCAAGGGAGTGAATGGAGGTGAGTGTTTACTGGCCCGATGCTCTTCCTGACGCCATGTGGAGTTTGCAGCACATATTTTTTTTCTTTGTGCCCTAAGAGAGAAATATCTGGAACTACCCAGAATTGATCTCTCAACTTTCCAAGTGGGAGTCGAGCATTTTCACCACCAGGCCACCATGCTGCTCAACCCATCAAACCACCCTCAAAACAGGAAAAAAAACCAAAAACAAAATCAGGTTGCTTGTTCCGGGAATTTCAGATTCTAAGGAATGCAGTTAGTGCCTCCAGCCTTTGCAAGAATTAAGTAGCCGTTTTGTCCATTAACACAAACACACACATATCCCAGGGAGAAAAGGATGCAAAATATTCAGCCCCATCCATTCGGAGGAGGTGCAAAGGGGGTGGCTGGAGGTATAGGTTGCTGATCCGCAGGCTAGGAATTTCTTCTACTTTAATTCCACAAAATCTGAGTGGAACATATAAAGAGTGGCGGATAAAGAGAAGTTTTACCGGAGTTCCTCAAAACATTTTTTTTTCCAAACTACAGGATCTCTTTGGACTCTGTGTTTAGTACTTCATCTGTGTTACAAGTAAGAGATTGACAGAGCAGAGGATATGTCTTCTGTTGCAAATATGAGCAAGCCAAGTACATACCACCTGAAAAGCTAGTATTATGCAGTTTGAGTCGTGCGCTCAAGTCACAGGCAAGGTTCTTAAATTATACCTAAGGGGGGGAAAAAACCCCTCTGTCTTTAATTGGTGCAGATTGTGCTTCTCCACCCCATCATTTCCTACTCTTAGCTCTGTCTCCTATTGGTAGTCCACTTACAGAATCTACAGGCAAGGCATCACAAATATAAATAGTCCCTCTCCATTTTCTGCACATTATGAAAATTAGAGAAGACATTCTACAACGGGGTGTCAAACGCGCAATGTCACGTGATGTGTCGTGACGTATCGCGACTTTTTTTTGCCATTGCTGGCAATGGGGCGGGCGTGGTTTCGCCATGACGCATCCGGCCCGTGGGCCGGCACTTTGACACCCCTGCTCTACAAACACAAGAAAAAGCTCTAAAACAATTATTGGGCTGAAAGTTTGCAGGCATGAACTGGAACATGCTGGCCTCCTTATTTGTTCCTTCCACTAATTTTCAGGTGAACGTCTGGCACTTGGCAGTTGCTTACCTATCATCTGTGCAATTGTCTTCTCATATTCAGCCACAATCTTCCTAAAGAGGAGACAGAAGTAAAGATGTGTGTAATAGAAATGTCATTAATGTTCTCTTTCTCCTATAAACCCAAATGCAGTTGACATGCTGTTCTTTCCAAAAAAAATTCAGTATATTCCTACTTAGGCAAGCTACTTCACCCTGGTGCTAGATGACTGGACATGCCAGTTCAGAATACTAGATGTTTTGACCCAGCATATCTGGAGAGCCACCAGACTGGAGAAGGAATGTCAAACATCGCTCATTGGTGTCTTTTCCTTGAAAATAGCTTCCATAATCAAATGTATGTAAAGGTACTTAAGGATTATTAAAGGGGCACCTGCTTCACTTTCAGTTGGTTTGGTTTTCAAATCAAGGTGTCAATGGAGGCTGGAATATTTGGTGGACTTGATTCACTTATTTGTCTAATTTTGTACCACTTCCTTTCAAAAGAAAAGTGCATGCTTCTTCAGTTTCCTCCTTGTAGGAATCTTGTGAGGGAGACCACATTGACCGCCCAGATTCTCCCAACAAAATTTGAGGGTTGAGTTTGGTCTCTCTATCTTCTCTCTTAGTGGCCAATCCAGGATTTTCTCCCTCAAACCCTGTCAAAAGTTATTCTTGGAGGTTAGACTAAGAGCACCCCCAGTTAGTTCTGTGACTTGAGCAACTTCAAAATCTACCCCAGCCTTCCTCAATCTGACAAGCTCTCCAAATATGGTGGTTTTTAGTTCCCATCATCCTTCAGAATGCTCCATTTTCACTAACCCAACCAACACTCAGACTGAAGATCTTCAGTTGAAGATCTTACTCCTGGCTTCACTGTCTTTATATTTATCCATGTGGAAAATAGCTTCAATGTCTGGAATTCATAGTATGTTATCCTGAAGAGGCAGTATTTTTGTTATCAGATTAGAAGAACCAGTCAAAGCCATGGCAGCCTTTAAATTATGGTTAAGGTAACTGATTGCAATGGTAGGAAATGACCAGGCTGAGCCCGAGGACGGGGTCAAACGTATCATAAGTTTGGTGTCTCTTTGCTTCCATAAGAGACCAAGGTCCATCTCCTTCTTTGAAGTCCGTTGACTCTTATCTGGCGGCAATTCACCTTGACAGTTAGTAGTTCAGATTCTTGTGTATAGGTAGCATGAAATAAACGTGTAGTAATTTTGAACTCTGTCCTGGCTCCTGACTTCTAGCACCTGACAACAACTGACTATATTGCAAATTCCTTAATATGATGAATAGTCTCTATTAACTCAGTCAATAAATGAGTCTTCCAATCTATATGAGGCTTCCATAATGATCTATGGCTGTGCACTTGTGAACAACGTGAAACGAGATGGAATTAGCACTGCTGAGTTCTTTTTACCTCATTTCCAAAACTTCCTGCCAACTTCCTTCATATTTTCTCTTCCATTCATTGGCTTCAATTTCCTTAGAGATGATCTAAAAATATGAACACAAAATGTGGCTTTTAGTTTTGAGAAGGCAGCCCTCTCACCTCTGAAAGAAATGTGGTGAAGCTGTCGGGAGGAGGTGGGGAGGAGGAGATACCACATTATGCTACAGTGATACATAGTGGTAGTTCAGCTCTGTCACCTGCAAATACATCTGTGGATTCTGTCTGATGTTTAGTTGGACGTTAAGAGAGTCGTTCTTTGCTAAAATGCCAGGGCTACCAATTTTTAGCTTTCCAGGAGATCTAGATATGATGTACTGTAAGTAACGGGTAGACCTGCTTAGGGAAGGTCTGCCAGATGATGAGATGTCTCTTCTGGTTACAAGAGGACTTTTCTTAATTAAAAGCATTAGCACACTATAAGTCAGTGTTTCTCAACCATGACAATTTTAAGGCATGTGAACTTCAACTCCCAGAATTCCACAGCCAGCATTGCTGGCTGTGGAATTCTGGGAGTTGAAGTCCACATGCCTTAAAATTGTCAAGGTTGAGAAACACTGCTATAAGTCATCCCAGCTAAAACTAGAAGGTAAGTGATAGGCCCAGGCTCCATTCGTATCAAGCTGCTAATAGTTTTGATATCTTTGGCTAATTTTGACATCAGCCTTCAGTCCTCAAGGATAGAACTGAATTTTGGCCCTAGTTCTAAGGAGGACTTCTCCCCAATGTCAAAGTGAAGCAGGAAGTCTGAAATAAAGAAACAGGCAGATAGAAAATCCTAATTCTATAGGGCAAAGTAGGGCAGGAAGTCAAGTTTCTAGAATATTTGTAAGAAGTATTATCTCCCCCAATCCTAAAGGATTCTGACAATATTCCAAAAATATCAAAAACTATGGATGACTTGCTAATCCAAAGAGATTCTATTCTGAGCCATATATACCCCAATTCCAGTCCTAGGGCTGCATGCAATTCTCTCCAGCCTTTGATACTGTAGGAGGAGGAATAGCAGAGACAGAGTGGGGTCAAGAGAGGAATCATCCTGGAATCATTACGTTCTCACAAACGATCCAAGTCCAGCATTGATTTAGTGCTGACAGTTGACTAGATTCTTATGTATAAGCCTGAGCAATAAATCAGCTTAACCGGAACTCAATATGTGGTCCCGATTCTTCACGCCGGAGAGATACCCTTCAAAAAGCTGAGCCATTAAGGTCACCAGGAATAATTAACGATATTTAATGAGCTGATTGAAATTGATTAGGTTAAACCCATTTCCATTGTTGTCCCAACCTGCAATTAAAGGCCACCTGTGATTCTATGGGCAGTGAAGCAAAGCAAGGGCGCCGTGCCTTCATAGAAGCACCCAGAATGTGTGGGATAACCTTAAAAAAAAAGCCATGTTAGTCTCTGAAAAATGCAAAAGAGTTTTTTCTTTTTTAAAAAGGGGGTGTTTTGCTTGTCCCAATGCCTGTTGATCAAGCACTTCTTGAAAACTTGGCACGGTCCCACCGAAGAGACCCTATATTACTAACATCCAGACCACATCACACCATCAGCCTGTTACCTCTTCTCTGATCAGGGTCAGAACTGCTGTCTTGTCAGATTCACTGAGGCAAATGGCATCCAGGGGGCTTTCAGCCCCTCCTCTCAGGCTGGCTGGTGTACTTCCAGGATCCTTTTCCATTGAACATAGTTCAGGATTACTCTGTGAGAAGAAAGACTGAGTCACAACAGAACACAACCAGCCCTTTCTGAGTTCTACCCAGTTTCTCCTGCCAGACCATCTCTTCAACAGACCCACAAAACCCAAGAAACATCTGTCAAGGTGTTCTACTGTAGAAAAGTTTGGAAGCCACAGGAAAGACTTCTAGTAACTGTCTTATTGATAATGCAATCACTGCTCAAGTTCTTGTGGCTTTTTCTCCCGCCCGAGATATGCAATGGGTTAGATGGCCTTCTCTTTTGTGTGAGAGACATGATTGCTAGCTGTCTCCTCTTTTGATAACAGAGTTACTATCATGTTGTTTTGTGACTGTAGATGAACTAACTCTCAGGTTCTGCCTGAATTGGAGATGCCCAAACCAAGAGTCCAAACGATAACCTTGAATTCTGGAGTTGGGTTGGTCCAAATTTGCCCTTAGGACAACTCTAGAACTCAACATTGATCTGTCTATTGGGCTTTTGAAGATGTGAAATGCTGTGAAGGGATATGGATGCTTTTGTAGGAGATGACCGTGCTTGATCCCTCTCTTGGGCTCAGCCTGGTCATCTCCTCCAGCTATTTGGATTTATACCTGTATAAATGTAACATAGTTGATTCCAAATTTAGAATTCTGGATCTGAATCTTTGTGTAGGATAACTGTGATTGGGACCTGATAGGACGGTTACCCTTTTTGTGAAATGAATGGAATATATCCCTTTACAAGACCACATCATTTGCAAAAAAACCCAAGATTCTGGATTTTCAAAAGATTCTCAAATATCATGTAAACTAAGCATTACATACCCAACTGACCATTTATACAGAATACAGAATAACAGAATTGGATGGGATCCTGGAGGTCTTCTAGTCCAACTCCCTGCTTGAGCAGGAGACCCTAACCATTTCAGATAAATGGCTGTCTAATCTCCTCTTAAAAACCTCCGGTAATGGAGCACCCATAACGTCTGAAGGCAAATCATTCTACTGATTAATTGTTCTCACTGATACAATATTTCTCCTTAACTTTAGGTTGCATCTCTCTTTTTGATAAGCTTCCAGCCTTTACTTCTTGCCCTGCTTTGGAGACTAGGGCCAACCTCTGCTTCTCTGTGACAGCCTCTCAAATATTAGAAGACAGGCTTTATATCACCTAGTCCAGGGGTAGGCAACCTTGGCTCTTTTAGGACTCATGGACTTCAACTCCCAGAATTCCTGAGCCAGCCACGCTGAGGGGAAAAGGAGAGGTTTCCAAGCTGAGCCATGCTGGCTCAGGAATTCTGGGAGTTGAAGTCCACACGTCATAAAAGAGCCAAGGTGGCCTACCCCTGATCTAGTGCTTCTCTTCATTAGATTAGACATTCCCCAGTTCCTGCAACTGCTCGTCCACTAATCGTCTTTGTTGCTCTTCTCTGCACCCTTTCTAAGGTCTCACCCACTCTATTTTGTATTTCTATTGATCTTAAGAACAAACAGGCAATCTTTTGTTGGAAACTCTGGGGAAGTGGACTGGGACATTTCCCTAGTCTTATTATTGCTTCAACGAACGATAAGTCTCTAGTCGAAACAGGGTGTGACGAAAGGTAAGTCAAAGAGGTCACGATCCTTACTTAGTAGATTCTTATTCGTTGGAAAGACAAGATTAGATCGACGTCGTGTCAAGTCGACAGTCGTCTCCAGAGACATTTCCATCGTGTAAAAGATACATTGAATTAACGTGTCTTGTTCCATGTCAGCATTTTGCAAAGTGAGCGAGATGAAATGAAAGAACTTTAGTTTAAAAGAAACATTTCGGGAATACTGGCTGTTAACCACCACCTCCCCGGAAAAAAATGTTCACATCCTTTGCAAAATCCTGCATTGGTCTTATTATTATACTATATTTAATTTTACTATATAGCAAACTCTCATGTTTTCCAGATCTGGACTTGACACGCAGCAGATCAAAGTCCACTGTGATATACACATAGTTCGCAACTTGCAACAGTTCATTTAATGACCGTTCACAGCTTCAACTACACTGAAAAAAAAGGGACTTATGACCATTTTTCACACTTACAGCTGATGCGGCATCCCCATGGTCAGGGGATCAAAATTAGATGCTTGGCAACTGACTTGTACTTATGACGGTTGCAGTGTCCCAGGGTCACGTGATCACCTTTTGCGATCTTCTGATGAGCAAAGTCAATGGGGGAAGCCAGATTCTCTTCACAACTGTGTCACTAACTTAACATGTGTACTGATTCGCTTAACAACTGTGGCAAGAAAGGTCGTAAAATGGGACAAAACTCACTGAACAACTGTCTCCCTTAGCAACAGAAATGTTGGGCTCAATTGTGGTCATATGTTGAGGACTACCTGTGCATCATTTTTAAAGGACATTATTGCACAACTGACATAATTATGACATTTACGTCATCACCATAACATAAGGTGAAGGCAACGATTGAACTACAACATATTCTGCTGTTCCAGGCACAGATGAAAATGTAGTAAAAATAAATGCCGGGAAAGGAATTTAGCAGAAAGAGTGGTCCACGATTTTGGACACGAAGGATAAGAACAATACTTGGGCTTACTGAGATCTCACTGGAGTTAGTCTTCCCTTCCAATTTGCACAAAGATTCCTTCTCGGAACCTACAGCAAAAGAACATAAGGAGATTACACATTATGACAACAAGGTTCTTCCTGATAAAATAACTGGATTTATAAAGAGACTTGCAACGTGCAACTCTATGACACCACTTGAAAGAGAGGAATACGAAACTCAAGGAGGATTGTCACTGAATGAAGATTGGAATGCTCCAAGTGACAATCAGTAGAGTTTGGGTCAGACTCTTCTTAAACCAAGAGATGGAGCTGGGGGACAGTAGACAATGATCCAAATTCTGAGACCTAGGGACACCATCCTACAGAAACACCAACGAGGTATACCCAGAAAACCTTCTAGGCACACCATTATCACAACTGATGGGACAGAAAACAGCAGGACACCACTGTTTGATGTTTGTGCCTCAAGCGACGACAATAATAATAATTCCACGTGAACCCGAATCAGATTTTTTTGCAAATTTCAGCACGTGTAGGGAAAAAAAAATTAGGAAAAATTGTAAGTGAGCCTCTTCCCCCTGCACACTTGAGTGCAATCCCGCCAGACTGTTCCTACAGGAAAAATCACTGTCATGTTGTCCATTCTCCCAGCTGCTCCCTTGATCTTTGATGCCCCATCCTGCTGATCTTTGTCCACAGCAGCTGCTGACTCCCTTTGTGATTGACAAGAATGCCAGCCTCACCCCAGACAAGGTTGACTGCACAGAGCTGCCCCACATAACTCCTTTTATTCCTATCAACTGGATAAACACAAGGAATGCACCCTTTGAAACGCAAGGCAGTCAGCCAAAGAATTCTCCTTTGTTATCTTCGGATTTATCTCTTTATTTCAGAAGTCTTTTACTTCCAAGGAAGCTTTGCCTACAATGCTGACCATTCCTTAGAGATGGGAAACAACTGGGGTGGGGGGTGGGGTGGGGATTGTCCCAGACTTTATCTAGGGAGATTCTTAGGTCATCCAAGTCATGGTTGTCTCAAAGGTGCTTTTTCAAGGGACAACTGGACTTATTTGTTTTTCTTTGAAGACGTTTTGCTTCTTGGATGAAAAGTGAAGCATCTTCAAAGAAACCCAAGAATGTGCAGTTGCCTCTTGAAAAAGCACCTTTGAGGGACCGAGGCCTTGAACTGAACTGCTGCATTCAGAACAAAAAGCAGGTGACATTCCAGGGCAATGCAAAATATTCTCCTCTTCCATGATAGAGGAAAGTCTTGATTTAACACCCGTTCCTTTCACACAAAGGTTCAAAGTTACAACAGCCTTGGAAAAAGGGAACCGATGACATGTACTCACACTTACGACTGTCAGGCCACAACCTTGGTGTCGTGGATTCTTTAATCTAGGTTACTACTCTTCCTCCAAATCTACTGAACAGGTCCTGTTGCCCTACTACCTCTCTTTGTAAGCCCCACTTAGGAAGAACAGTAACTGTTCTACAGGTAGTCCTCGGCTTACAACAGTTCATTTAGTGATCGTTCAAAATTACAACAGCAGTTAAAAAAAAGTGACTTAGGATTGTTTTTCACACTTACGACAGTTGCAGCATCCCTGTGGTCATATGAACAAAGTTCAAACCAGTTTGGCAACTGGTTCATATGTATGATAGTCGCAGCGTCCCGGGGTCACGTGATCCCCTTTTTGTGACCTTTTGACAAGCCAAGCCAATGGGGAAGCCGGATTCACTTAACAACTGTGTGACTAACTTAACAACTGCAGTGATTCATTTAACAGCTGTGGCAAGGAAGGTCGTGACGTGGGGCAAAATTCACTTAACAACTTTTCGCCTAGCCACAGAAATTTTGGGCTCAATGGTGGTACTAAGTCAAGGCCTGCCTGTGTTTGTCTCAGGCTGCTTCAGGGTGTTTCAGTTTCCCAAATGAACACTTTTGTGGGAATGCACACAACAGGCTCTCAAAATTGCTGCTGTATAGCCACCAGCCATCAAACAGCCTGCCCTGCATGGAATGGAGATGGCACTGCGTTCCGCTAAAAGCACGCCTGCTTTTGCGTCGAGCGCAAGGAACCAGAATGACACTGTGAGACCATCAGAGTTATTTCTTCACTGCTAACCTACTTACAACTGACGGCATTCTCTTGGGAACAGTCAGAACAAAGGCTCTGGGATTGGGGGGGGGGGGNAAAGGGATCAGAATAATAACGAAGTTGCTTGCTATTCAGAGATCAGCTTTGTCCCACACTGCTTTCCATTCAGTTTCTCCAGTGCTAGGAATGAATCATCTAAGAATAAGCAACCTTTCTGTTCTAATCTAGCTGCAGCACAGTTCAGCTGTCAGCAGAGGTCTCTGTAAAGGTAGCACATTTTCTATGTAACTTAATTTGGTGTCTTGTTCCATGTCAGCATTTTGCAAGTGAGAGAGATGAAATGAAAGAACTTTAGTTTAAAAGAAACATTTCGGGAATACTGGCTGTTAACCACCACCTCCCCGGAAAAAAATGTTCACATCCTTTGCAAAATCCTGCATTGGTCTTATTATTATACTATATTTAATTTTTATTATATAACAAACTCTCATGTTTTCCAGATCTGGACTTGACACGCAGCAGATCAAAGTCCACTGTGATATACACATAGTTCGCAACTTGCAACAGTTCATTTAATGACCGTTCACAGCTTCAACGGCACTGAAAAAAAAGGGACTTATGACCATTTTTCACACTTACAGCTGTTGCGGCATCCCCATGGTCAGGGGATCAAAATTAGATGCTTGGCAACTGACTTGTACTTATGACGGTTGCCGTGTCCCAGGGTCACGTGATCACCTTTTGCGATCTTCTGATGAGCAAAGTCAATGGGGGAAGCCAGATTCACTTCACAGCTGTGTCACTAACTTAACATGTGTACTGATTCGCTTAACAACTGTGGCAAGAAAGGTCGTAAAATGGGACAAAACTCACTGAACAACTGTCTCCCTTAGCAACAGAAATGTTGGGCTCAATTGTGGTCATATGTTGAGGACTACCTGTGCATCATTTTTAAAGGACATTATTGCACAACTGACATAATTATGACATTTACGTCATCACCATAACATAAGGTGAAGGCAACGATTGAACTACAACATATTCTGCTGTTCCAGGCACAGATGAAAATGTAGTAAAAATAGATGCCGGGAAAGGAATTTAGCAGAAAGAGTGGTCCACGATTTTGGACACGAAGGATAAGAACAATACTTGGGCTTACTGAGATCTCACTGGAGTTAGTCTTCCCTTCCAATTTGCACAAAGATTCCTTCTCGGAACCTACAGCAAAAGAACATAAGGAGATTACACATTATGACAACAAGGTTCTTCCTGGTGAAATAACTGGATTTATAAAGAGACTTGCAACGTGCAACTCTATGACACCACTTGAAAGAGAGGAATACGAAACTCAAGGAGGATTGTCACTGAATGAAGATTGGAATGCTCCAAGTGACAATCAGTAGAGTTTGGGGCAGACTCTTCTTCAACCAAGAGATGGAGCTGGGGGACAGTAGACAATGATCCAAATTCTGAGACCTAGGGACACCATCCTACAGAAACGCCAACGAGGTATACCCAGAAAACCTTCTAGGCACACCATTATCACAACTGATGGGACAGAAAACAGCAGGACACCACTGTTTGATGTTTGTGCCTCAAGCGACGACAATAATAATAATTCCACGTGAACCTGAATCAGATTTTTTGCAAATTTCAGCACGTGTAGGGAAAAAAAATTAGGAAAAATTGTAAGTGAGCCTCTCCCCCTGCACACTTGAGTGCAATCCCGCCAGACTGTTCCTACAGGAAAAATCACTGACATGTTGTCCATTCTCCCAGCTGCTCCCTTGATCTTTGATGCCCCATCCTGCTGATCTTTGTCCACAGCAGCTGCTGACTCCCTTTGTGATTGACAAGAATGCCAGCCTCACCCCAGACAAGGTTGACTGCACAGAGCTGCCCCACATAACTCCTTTTATTCCTATCAACTGGATAAACACAAGGAATGCACCCTTTGAAACGCAAGGCAGTCAGCCAAAGAATTCTCCTTTGTTATCTTCGGATTTATCTCTTTATTTCAGAAGTCTTTTACTTCCAAGGAAGCTTTGCCTACAATGCTGACCATTCCTTAGAGATGGGAAACAACTGGGGTGGGGGTGGGTGGGGATTGTCCCAGACTTTATCTAGGGAGATTCTTAGGTCATCCAAGTCATGGTTGTCTCAAAGGTGCTTTTTCAAGGGACAACTGGACTTATTTGTTTTTCTTTGAAGACGTTTTGCTTCTTGGATGAAAAGCGAAGCATCTTCAAAGAAACCCAAGAATGTGCAGTTGCCTCTTGAAAAAGCACCTTTGAGGGACCGAGGCTTTGAACTGAACTGCTGCTTTCAGAACAAAAAGCAGGTGACATTCCAGGGCAATGCAAAATATTCTCCTCTTCCATGATAGAGGAAAGTCTTGATTTAACACCCGTTCCTTTCACACAAAGGTTCAAAGTTACAACAGCCTTGGAAAAAGGGAACCGATGACATGTACTCACACTTACGACTGTCAGGCCACAACCTTGGTGTCGTGGATTCTTTAATCTAGGTTACTACTCTTCCCCCAAATCTACTGAACAGGTCCTGTTGCCCTACTACCTCTCTTTGTAAGCCCCACTTAGGAAGAACAGTAACTGTTCTACAGGTAGTCCTCGGCTTACAACAGTTCATTTAGTGACCATTCAAAATTACAACAGCAGTTAAAAAAAGTGACTTAGGATTGCTTTTCACACTTACGACCGTTGCAATATCCTTGTTGTCACATGAACAAAGTTCAAACCAGCTTGGCAACTGGTTCATATGTATGACGGTCGCAGCGTCCCGGGGTCACGTGATCCCCTTTTTTGTGACCTTTTGATGAGCCAAGTCAATGAGGAAGCCAGATTCACTTAACAATTGTGTGACTAACTTAACAACTGCAGTGATTCATTTAACAGCTGTGGCAAGGAAGGTCATGACGTGGGGCAAAATTCACTTAACAACTTTTCGCCTAGCCACAGAAATTTTGGGCTCAATGGTGGTACTAAGTCAAGGCCTGCCTGTGTTTGTCTCAGGCTGCTTCAGGGTGTTTCAGCTTCCCAAATGAACACTTTTGTGGGAATGCACACAACAGGTTCTCAAAATTGCTGCTGTATATAGCCACCAGCCATCAAACAGCCTGCCCTGCATGGAAAGGAGATAGCACTGTGTTCCGCTAAAAGCACACCTGCTTTTGCGTCGAGCGCAAGGAACCAGAATGACACTGTGAGACCATCAGAGTTATTTCTTCACTGCTAACCTACTTACAACTGACGGCATTCTCTTGGGAATGGTCAGAACAAAGGCTGCTGGGATTTGGGGGGGAGAGACAATCTGAAATTTTTCTGGAGAAGAATTAAATATTAAACTCTCCTTGGCTCATTTTTCAAGTCTCTTTTATAGGTGTCTATGGAGATTCTTGGTCTTCCAGGTCATTGTTGTCCCAAAGGTGCTTTTTCAAGAGGCAACTGGACTTTAAAGTGGGTATAGATTCACTAACTGTTAGATATTGGCACGTGAGCAGGCACACACACACACACACACAGAGCTGGAAAACCTGCATCAATAACTAATATAGCTGTAAAGCCTATAAAAGAGACCCAAAAGGTGCTTTTTCCAGAGTCAACTGGATTTTCTTGTTTTTTCTTTGAAGACGTTTCGCTTCTCATCCAAGAAGCTTCTTCAGCTGACTGGATGGTGGGGAATTTGCATTTGCATTCTTTTTTTTGCATCATTTGCAATTTTTTTTTACCAGCTGTCTGCAAAGAGTATAAATCCTTCCATTCCCCCCACCATCCAGGCAGAGCTGAAGAAGCTTCTTGGATGAGAAGCGAAACGTCTTCAAAGAAAAAAAACAAGAAAGTCCAGTTGACGCTTGAAAAAGCACCTTTGGGTTTCTTTTATAGGCTTTACAATTATATTAATCATTGATGCAGGTTTTCCAGGTGTGTGTGTGTGCCTGCTCACATGCCACTATCTAACAATTAGTCAGCCTATACCCACTTAAAGGCCTCGGGAATAGACGCATTCAGTGAACCCAACCTGTACATTTGTTTTATTAAAAAGGCATCCGATGACTCAAGAAAGTTTTTCACTCAACAACCGACAGCCCTCCCAGAATGCAAGCATTATTGAAATACAGTAGCCTCCTGCTGCATCTGTCCTCCAGATGTTCTGGACAAGAACTTTTGCAGACTTCCCTTGCTGACAGCCAAGGCCTGTGCTACCAGCCATGGGAATTGTGACTCAGCAAATTTGGAAGGCAGATAAGAGGAAAAACTAGACTGTTAATGCAAGAGAGAGAGAGATAAAATAATGAGAGAAGCTTCCGTACCTTCTACTGGGGATGGAAACGTATGATTTATGGTAGACA